CAATTCGAAAATTCAAAATAAACTTATTTTTCGAATTCATGCTGCAAATTCGAAAAATAAGTTTATATTGAATTTTAATAAACTAAACGTTCACCAAAAAATTTTAGTGAGAAAAATCGAAAAAACGAACTACAAACATATTAACGCCAAACATTCGGTAGAATTTATAGAATATTGTAAAAAATTATGGTCCATTACTAACATATATATATATATATATATATATATATATATATATATATATATATATATATATATATATATATATATATATACCTACATACAATTATTACAATTATTACATACAATTGGTGATTGTTTATAGATAACATGTAGGAATAGATAGTTAGAAGAATGTGTGCTTGATCGGTGATTTCTATGGTTGTTTACATCTGATTGTTATTATCTACATAGGAAATATATTTTATTATCTCTCTCTCTTTTTCTCTCTCTTTCTCTTTCTCTCTCTCTCTTTCTCTTTCATTTTGTCAATCAATCAACCAATTACTAATCACTAGAGTTTTTTTTTGCTCTTTTGTCATATTTCTTATGTCTTGTTTCTCTGCTCCTTTGTCAAGTCATGCCCGACGCTGATCCCCCTCAAATCTTCATCAAGATTCTTCAGATTTGACAAGTTTTCCATATTTACTCGTAACCACTCTTTTAATATTTGCAAAAAAATCAGATCCTGGAATCGAATGGACAATGACGGCTTTACTAGAGTTTTTTTGGAATCCGCGATATCGAGACCTTGCATAAGTGATAACCTTGACGCTGAATTTCAATTGTTTTTCAATGAATCTCTACGAATTGCTGGTGTAATTGCACCTGTTCGAACTGTCTTGACTAAACGGGATCGTGTTGCCCCATGGTTTGATGATGAGTGTTATCGTTTGAAGCGATATTATACATACATACATACATACATACATACATACATACATACATACATACATTCATACATTCATACATACATACGTTTGTACATATGTACATACATAACTACATACATGCATACAAAAAACTCATACAAACATACCATTACTAAGAAATACCGCTATACAAACATAAGCTTATAGATTGTATTTATATACACAAACATACATACATGCATTGCATATACATACAAATATATACAACAAACATGTATAAATGTATGAAGTCGATTGTTATTTACTATAAATACCAATATTTTTTGCGGGTATATATAATATTTGTTTTAAAAAATGATATATATATATATATACATATATATATATAGATATATATATACGTGTATAGTATCATTGTATATCATTAAAACAAATTTTTTTGATTTATTTCTGTTGAAAGATAAAAAAACGTAACTGAAACTGAAATTAATTACATCTCCGCCGGTAACAAAAATTCTCCCAACAAAAACAAAACAATTTTTGAATCAAAATTTTTCTTCAACTTCTCCCATCACTCAATCATCTCAATCATTCCATCAAGCCATGATTTGGAACAAAAAAAAATTAATTTTTAGTTTTGTATTTTTCCTCTGACTTCTCCAGCACGTTCAAGAATCGATGACTTCCGCTGACGTCATCCAGTTCGAAACTTGCCTGTCATCTAGCGAGTGCTTTAAATTATTTTTTTATGTTGCTATTGTTATCATCATCATCGCATTCATCACCATCGTCATCATCATCGTATCATCATTATGTACAGCCATCATCTCCATATCGTCATCATCGTCGTGACGTCATAGTCGTCGTCAACATCATCGTGACGTCATCTAAACGAGTAGGTGTGGAAAAAATTATTAAGGGCCGAACGTTAAATTATTTCCGAAGTGGAGTGGAAGCGCGCAATTCAATTAGTCGGCTATAAATTTGGGAGTTGATGATGTTGTTGATGTTGATGCTGATGTTGTTGTTGTTGATGTTGAAGTTGTTAATATTGTTGTTGATGATGTTGTTGATGATTTTGTTGTTTCTTATGCTGTTGATGTTGTTATCAACGACAGCAATAACTACCACTAATATCACCAATAACAACATCATCAACAACAACACAACAGAAATAACAACAGATATCAACAGACCTTTCTTGCCATCAACTCGGTCGGCTTGTATGGATGAAATCTATGCGGGTCGTCATCAACCTGTTTACAATATTAAAAATGTGTTTAGATTTTTAAGGTAACAACTAATCCATTTAATTTCTATGTAAATAAAACTTAATTAACTTCTTTGTAAACAATTTTTAATTCTTTGTAACCAAAAAATCAATTTATTTCATTTTCCCGTTAAACAAAATAAATTTATTAACACCCTCGTGTTAATGACTTCGGTTTCTTTGATGTTTTTTTTTTGAAGAAAATTTTAATTAAACAATTTGTTTTTCTTTGATACACAACAATAAGCAAGCACACACACACACACATATACACACACAGATACACATACAAATACACAGACACACAGACAAACATAGACACACAGACACACATACTTACTGTACATTCAACGATGGTAGGACCGGTGGAACAGTTTGATTTGCTCTGTCTTCTAAGGCGGCTGCATGAATAACTGAAGGAGTGAAGGAATGACGAGTGAGTGAGCGAGCAAGTGGGTAAATGAGTGAGGAAGTAAATGAATAAATGAAGGAATGAAGGAATGATGAGTGAGCGAGTGAGTGAGTGAGTGAATGAATGAATGAATGAATAAATGAATGAACGAATGAATGAATGAATAACAACAACAGCATCAATAACAACAACAACAACACGTGACGTACAGATCTTTGAATTGCCCCTCCTGGCATAGCGGACCGAAGCTAGCCAGGATGAAGGCAGAACAAGGCAATGCACTTGCTAGTGGGTTGTTGTTGCTGTTGTTCTGCTGTTGATGTTGTTGTTGTTGTTGATGATGCATGTTGCTGTTGTTGTTGCTGTTGTTGTTGTTGTAATTGGTAGCAACAGCCGGTGAATGCGTTGAGATGTCGTAACATTGTAGGGAGCTACCGTTGTGGAGCATTGATGGGATCTGATTATTATTATTATTATTTTTATTATTGTGATTTATTATTATTAATGTCATTATTGTTACTGTTATTACAACATTGTACTAACACACGCACACGCACGTACGCACGCACACGCACACACAACACGCCTGATAGGACCAACAAACATTGTTGTTGAATGATTTTCATGTTGCTTGTTGATAAATGATGATGACGTAATGAGTAATCACGGGAGAAAATTGAATCCTGGCCGCGTTTGTGACCATCACCAGTGGATGGATACATTGAAGATGGTAGAAGCAAGGGATGACAATTGGGACAGTGACATGCAACAACAACAACAACAACAACAATAATAATAATAATAATGATAATGATAATAGCAATGATAATGATAACATATTCAATTAGCTGACTGGGTTGTTGTAGGAACAGCCAGAAACAGCAACACAAAATATAGCACACCCCATCTCCGTCGGCAACTTACTTAAACATTCTCAGATAGATGGATGAAGGGTTTGATCAATCGATCAACCATTGAATGAATGAATGAATGAATGAATGAATGAATGAATGAATGAATGAATGAATGAATGAATGAATGAATGAATGAATGAATGAATGAATGAATGAATGAATGAATGAATGAATGAATAAATGAATGAATGAATGTAGGAATGAAGGAATGGTTGGATGAGTTGATTAAAAATGAAGGAATGAAAGTGAAACAGAACGAATGAACGAAAGAACGATTGAACTGAATAACAAATTCATTATTAAACCGACAAGTTGAGGAAAGAATAAAGCAATTAAAATTCAACTGAGACAACCACGTACGTGTACACATAGCGTAAAAACGCACGCACACACACACACACACACACATACAGACACACACACGCACGCACACACACACACACACAGATACACACACAAACTAACCTGCACTTGAGCCTGCACGTAAGCGGTTGCAGCAAGAGCAGTCGGTGCGACGTGAGCGACAATCTGCCGATGATGATGATGATGATGAGAAGGATGAGGAGGAAGAGGAGGATAAGGATGAGTAAGATGATGATGATGATTATTATTTACGTGGGCCTGGGGTACTTGTCCTAAAAAGTCCGGAGGCATGGATCCGGATGAAATTAACTGGTGCCCCATCAGTAGGGATGTACCTGGATGGTGATGGGTGGGCTGCAGTAGTTGAGTTGACCCCAAAGGCGATCCAGCTGCTGTCCACGCGTCATTGCTGTTGCCGGTCGCTACTGCAGCTACGGCTGCAGCTGCTGATGACGTAGCGTACCTCGTTTGGTAGAAGGCTTGCTGACTGTTCGCCAGTTCCTCTGTTGATGTTGTTGATGATGAAGATGAGGATGGTGAAAGATTTGCTAACAATTATTGGTACGTATTATCTTATATTTTTTTTAACTTACGTTATAAAAATCTTACACACACACATACACACAGACAGACACACACACACGCACACACACACAGACGCAGGCAGAAAAATTTTCCAGCACATTAACTTTAAGCATTGCATAACTCACGTGCATTGATGAAGGAAACGATCTGATGCGGGGCCAGAGCGATCACCTGACTTCCGGCAAGCAGCGATGACGATGACGTCGACGATGATAACGACGCCAGTAGCGACAACGACGATGATGATGACGTTTTTGTTTTCGCCATTTTTGTGTTACTCTTCGCAAACTCCAGCCTGAGTGCCTGCGGTTGCTCTGGATCGAATCTTAAACCCTTTTTGGCGGGAAAATGGAAAAACTAATTATAATAAAAAAATAGTAATAATTATCATATTATTATTATTATTATATTAATAATTACTATATAATTATTATAATTCTTATTATTATTGACACTACATTTAATATTATAAATATTATAATTTCTTTATCATTCGAAGCAGAAAAAAAAACAAAAAAATATATCCTGTCAACTACATTCTAAGAAAAATTTTAAGGGATGAGGGGATAATCTGAACTTGCCTGTATTTGCTTCAGAGCCAACTCAGCATCTCCTCGCGTTGCGAATGTCACAAATCCGACTGGCTGTACGGTTTTTCAAATTTTTATATTTTCTATCATAATTTCTTCATTAAATTTATTATCTTTTTGTAAACTTAAGTTGATTAAATTATTCATATAACTTCCAATAAACTGAATAAAATTTTAAATAATTAAATTGTTTCTTTTAAGTCTGGAAAATAATTTTTTCCAAAGTTAGTAGGAAACATTCGATCAATGAGAAGCCCCTACAAAACTTTAACTTTAAAAACAAAATAAAGGGCTATAACAACACATACCGATGTCATTTTTCCATTTTTCCCGCCAATTTTCAACTGACACGATTCATAACCCTGCAGCAAAATCAATAGTAGACATTAAATTGTTTAAATGACAGATACAATGAAAATGTGCGTGCGTGTGTATGTGTGCGTGTGTGTTTTCTACCGACAAAATCACTATCTATCGAGAAAAAAATGAAACAGTTTTTAAAAAAATTCCCGCTATGCACCCCTTAAGACGAGTAAAAACTTCGCGCCAAAAAAATTACTTTCGCGCCAAAAAATTGTCTTCACTCCGACAATGCCATTGATATCGCTTATAAACTATTCACGATAATGTTGCGCTAGTTCGATTGTTGACGTTGTTGCTGTTGTTGTTGACGTTGTTGCTGTTGTTGTTGACATTGTTGCTGTTGTTGTTGTTGTTGTTGTTGTTGACGTTGTTACTGTTGTTGTTGTTGGTGTTGTTTTTATCGATGTTGTTGCTGTTGCTGTTGTTGTTGGCATAAAAGAATTTTTATAAGAAATATTCACCACCGCTTTGAATATCATGATTTATGTTGAAATTATTTGCTTTATTTTGCCATAGATATCCTTTGTGATAATGATTTTAATCACGTCAGTGTTAATGATAATGATGATTTTATCGTCACTTTATGACGTCATAAATATAATTTTCTTTGCAAACAAAGAGAAGCTTTTTGAAAAAAAAACAAACAACAAAAAGTATTTTTTTTTAATGAACAAACAATTTTGTAAGCAGTGGCGCAATAAATAGACAAATTTTCGGTGTATAAGAATAAACAACGACAACAAAAACAACCAAGGACAACGACATCATCATCATCAACAACAACAACGCCAAAAACAACAACGCCAACAACAACAGCAGCAACAACGTCATCATCAACAACAACACAAAATTAACATCAACGACAACATCAACAACAACATCAACGACAACATCAACAACAACATCAACGACAACATCAACAACAGCAACTTGTAGCAAACGACAACCTATATTGCAAGCCATTAAAAGTTGCTCCATTATTGTAGAGCATTCGCACATTAATAAAACATTCGCCGACTATTACTACTACTGCTGCTCTTGCTGTTACCACAACCACCACTACTACTACTACTGCTGCTGCTGTTTGTGGCAACAACAATGCCATGCCAACAATAACATCAGCAACAACACCAACAACAACATCATAAATACATCGCCGGAGGTAAACAGCACTTACTCATAAAATGACATTAAAAACAGCCGGCTTAATAACAAAACCAATAAAATGCAATCATACTACGTATAAATGTTTTTGCTCATTACAACTGCCTACACACACATATAAACACACACACACACGCACACACACGCACACAAACATATGTTTGTGTGCGTGTGTGTGTGTTGGTTTTTGTATTTGCTTATTAGTGGTTGGATTTTCTAAAATGGAAGTGCGGTGGGGAATCCAACATCAGCATGTGGCAGTTCAAGTTTAAAATCTGGCTGGCGGAGGTCCTTTGGTGGTTGTTCATCATTCCCAGATGGGAGCTAGGAACATTAGCGTATCCGGAGCAAGTATTTGAAACAGCCTACCAAAGTCGTTGATGAGGTCAGACTACTACTGCTGCTGCTGCTGTTGTTGCTGCTACTACTACTTCTAGCACTTACTACTACGTCAACGCAACGTCATTTGCATTTTTTAACATAATGTACACGCACGTGTATATTTTGTTTCACATACAACAACATTTTAAAAATTGAAATACAAACACAATAACTCATACATTCACACATGCATACACAACCACAGACAAACAGAGAAGTACGTACAATACTTAAAAAATTACACCCACACACACACATGCCCAAATATTACTCTCTCCCTTTCTTTCTTTATCTCTCTCTCTCTTTCTCTCTCGTTTTCTCTCATCCCTTTCCAACATCACATTTATTATTTATAAATTTCGAATAATTTTCTTCGTGCATAAAATAACAGCAACACCAACTACTTCAATAAACAATCAGCAATTTAAAAACCAACCGACCAACCAATCAAACCAACCAACCAACCAACCAACCAACCAATCAACCAACCAACCAACAAACCAACCAAGCGTCTTTTCAGACCTAAGGCACAACACCATATAGACGCATCAGCCATCGACAACAATAACAACAATCACAATGCATT